CCATTAATTATTTGACTTGATTCGAGTGGTTTTTATAGGAAGAAAGTTTCTACCTTATGTAGATTGAACAGTTATGAAAAAAAAATTGATCGATTTCAACTGATTTTTTTCATCATTACAATACATCGTAAAGGAGTCTTTGATATTCCTTTTTTAACATCGTTAGATTATGTTTCAGTATCACTTTCGGATGTAACTCTAACACTTATAATTATTATAAAGCATTTTCCTCAAGTATTTATTTCTCTTTTTGGTTCAAAAATGTAAAATTATGTTTAGTTTGATTCCCAGGGATATCGAATGGAAAATGTTCTAGATTTTTGTACATTTATCACATTCAAAGTCATCAGCACTTAGGTCCACTGACGATTCCACTTCTCATTCGATTGCGTAAAGTAGTGAATGGCACATTATAAATGTTTTCAGCTTTACGGTATGACAAACCGCCTCTTACAGCCTCCAAAGCTGAAGTTAACTCTTTCTCTGTCCATTTTCCTCTTATTTTCTCCTCTGGTTCCTTTCTACGTGGCATTTCTGCAAAACAACAGCGCAAAATCTAACCTCATCAATATCCATTTATCTGATTTCAAGATTTTAATAGAGTATTCCAACTATCTACAGTTTCATTCAAGTTGATCACCATCCCATCATTCATTATTGAATGTTTTCTTAAAAAAAAACAATAATTATGTAATATTTACGTGATGTTGTTCAATACTACTCCCACGTTTACACTGACGAGCTGTCAAACCCCGAGTGGTACTGGTCGCCAGCTAAGCGATATTACCCGCACCAGGTGAGCCATATTACCGGCTCGGCGCGGTGGTAAAAAAATTAAAAACAATTATTAATTGGAAGGGAATAAAGAAATCCTACTGATCTCCAATGAAAGCAGAAAGTGCCACGAATCGGCAATCAGTTAAACATACGAATGCAGGGTTTAAAACTACGAAAAACCTTACTTACTGGTCCCCAAATTTTATATCGTAAGGATCCCGAAACCTCGCTTTATGTTTCTTTTATATTCAAAGTGGTAGATGAAGTGGAATCTCTTCGAAAATTACATTGTGATATTAAATAACTCGTATGAAAAAAAAAGAAATCAAAAATTAATTTCATAATTATGGAGAAAACCTGGAGAGCCGTATTGCCCGCCGAGCTATACAAGTCTACTTTACCCGAAGGGTAGCTGTAGGCAAAAGTTCACGCTCGTAGCTCTTGTAGTTTGCGCTGTGCGTTGATACATCAGTCGCTCAGAAAATGGATTCTTTTTTATATATAAGATGTTCTCATCTACCCAAAAAATGTGGCGATTTGGTGCGGGTATCAAGAATAATAACGCGGTGTTGACAAGAACTGTGTATTTAAAGGCAAGTGTTTACATGTGTACACAAAAGTAGACTGACTTTTTCGCCGGGGAGCGTACGAGTTTATATACCTTCGTTTATCGAAGGTTCGAGAATTGTCCTGAAATTTCGTGAGGGACAAGGACAGAATGATGTTTGTCTCGAATTCCGACGTTTGGAATATTCGAGACGCTACGAAATAAATTCAAGAAATTAATCTATTGTGGCTCGCGCCACAAGTACTCCCCTTCTGCGAAAAAAGAAAAGAAAGCAAAGTAAAGCCAAAAAAAATCAATAATATCGATTTGTCGAGAACAGCTGATGTCGTTTGGCGAATGTCGTTTGACGCGCTTTTGAATTGATGACATCGATGAGGGGGTGTCAGATGGGCGGTAAGATGACGAACGTCGAGATGTTCCCGGTTGCGGTGATTCCGGTGAAGGTGGTGCTGTCAGTGTCGTATTGATGTCGTGGGAATCGTCGTTAGCTTCGTCGTCATTGTTGTGCTCGTCGTCTGGGAGCGAGAAAACCGGTTTGAGACGGTCGATGGAGACTACGGTATTTTCGCCTCTAATTCGAATGACGAAATGTTTCTCGTGCCTCGATATTATTTGGTGTGGCCCCTCGTATGGGGACTTGAAGGCGTGATGGGAAGCATCGCGACGAACGAGGACGTGTGAGCAGTTTGCGAGCTCCTTAAAGACGAAAACCTTCCTCTGGCCATGACGGGTGACGGGTGGAGGAGCGAGATCGGCGAAGTGATTCCTCAGACGATCGGCGATATTGGTAGGCGGTAGCTCGCGTGGTGGTGAGGGAGCAAGAAATTCCCCCGGTAGTCGAAGCGGTTCACCGAAGACGAGGTCGGCAGGAGGTGCGCCGAGTTTTTTTTCCAGGCGGCGCGAATTCCGAGAAGGATGATAGGCAGCATGTCCACCCACGAATCGCTTTCATGACAGCGAATGGCGTTCTTCAGATGACGATACAGACGTTCCACCATTCCATTTGACTGAGGATAGAACCTGGTAGTGTGAATATGTCTGCAACCGAGAAGACGAGCGAGAGCGTTGAACAGCTGGCTCTCAAACTGTGTCCCCTGGTCGGTTGTAATTCGAAGCGGCACTCCGTAGCGGCAGATCCATCCAGACAAGAGCATTCGGGCGACACACTCGGCTCCAGTGTTCTCGTTGGGGGACGCCTCTGGGAACCTGGTGAAACGGTCTATGATCGTCAGGCAGTTGCGATACCCTCTGGACGGAACGTACGGTCCGACGATGTCCACGTGTATGTGCTCGAAGCGCTGCGTGCGTCCTGGAAAATCTTGGATAGGAGATGAGATATGACGAGATACCTTATTTCGTTGGCAAGCGATGCACGCGCGGGCCCATAGACGGCAGTCTAGGTTGATGTCGGGCCAGACGTAGCGCTGCGTTACCAGCTTCGTTGAGGCTCGTGCCCCAGGATGGCTAATGCTATGGAGAGTGTCGAAAATTCTTCTTCTCAATGGCACAGGAACGAAAGAGTGGATCAGATCATCAGACACGTCGCAATAGATAGGCGTGGCGCAGTCTGGAACATTGACAGGTCGTAGGGCGAAAGCGTCGTGATGTTGACCCTGGAGACGTTGCTGGAGCTCCTCGTCAGCGGCTTGAGCTTCGGCAAGCTCATTCGTGGAGACAGCAGTAGAAATTACCTCGATACGAGAAAGCGCATCGGCGACAACGTTGTCCTTGCCGGCCACGTACTGGATGTCGGTCGAAAACTGGCCGATAAAATTCAGGCGTGGAACTGCCACGGCGTGGCTCTGTCGGGATCCTGGGCGAAGGCGTGAAGCAACGGCTTATGATCTGTGAAGATCGTGACGTGCCTCGCCTCGAAAATGTAGCGGAACTTTCGCACGGCAGGGTAGATGGCATGGAGCTCTCGATCGTAAGGACAGTGTTTCCTCAGCGCAGGTTGTAGTTTCTGGCTGAAAAATGCCAGTGGTTCCCAGTGCTGTCCTTGGCGTTGCTGCAGGACTGCACCGATGGCGTATTCGGAAGCATCGATGAAGATGGCCCACGGGAGTGTCGTATCCGGGTAGACCAGTAACGTTGCTTTTCGCAGCTCCTCCTTGCAGGCGGTGGAAGCGGTATCGCCCTCAGGTGTCCAGGCGACGGGGTGAGAGCCTTTGACATTAGCAACCTGAGTGTATTCATGGAGAGGAGCCTTAAATCTTGCAGCATCTTTAAGAAATTGCGATAAAAATTGATCATACCTAGGAACTCACGCAATTTACAAATGGATGTTGGCCGAGGAAAATTGACGATCGCCTCTACCTTCGACGGGAGCGGTAAGATACCCTGCGCCGAGATACGATGGTCGAGGAAGTCTACCTCCGATTGGCCGAAACGACACTCGGCGGTGGTAATTACAACACCGTATCTCGAGAGCCGTTCAAAGAGCGTGTGGAGGTGTCTGCGATGTTCCTCGATATTCTTGGAAGCGATGAGGATGTCATCGATATACGGAAAGTCGAAATCGTCCAAGCCTCGTGTGACCTCGTCGATAAACCGTTGAAATATTTGTGCGGCATTTCGAAGCCCGAACGTCATGAAGGGGAATTCGAAAAGGCCAAATGGTGTGATGATAGCTCTTTTGTTTACGTCGTCGATGGCCACAGATATTTGATTAAAGACGCGTACGAGGTCGATCGTCGAGAAGATTGTTTTCCCAGCGAGATTAGCAGTGAAGTCCTCTAGAACGCGAACGGGATATCGATCCGGAATTGTTCGTGCGTTCAGATGTCTATAATCTCCACAAGGTTGCCATTCGCCTGACTTTTTCGGTACCAAGTGGAGCGGAGATGACCAGGGGCTCTTCGAACGTTGAGTGATTCCCAGTTGCATCATTTTGTCGAACTCCGCCTTGGCGATTTTCAGTTTGTCGGGGGCGAGGCGTCGTGATTTGCTGGATAATGGAGGTCCGGGTATAGTGGCGATATGGTGCAACGTCAAATGTTTGGCTGGAAGGCATATTCCTTCGGGTTTCGTTAAATTGGGAAACCTACCGAGGAGATCTGACCATGAAGGATCCACAGGCGTAACCTTGATTCCCGAGACGATGCTGGATAGCGACACTTTGCATGAAGTCGTTAATCCAGTTATTGAGTCGATAAGGCAGCCGTTCTTCAGGTCAGGTAAAATGCCGAAATGCGCCAAAAAATCGGCACCGATAATTGGTTTGGTTGTGTCCGCCACTACGAAGCGCCATGTGAAATCCCTCCGGNCGAGACGATGCTGGATAGCGACACTTTGCATGAGGTCGTTAATCCAGTTGTTGAGTCGATAAGGCAGCCGTTCTTCAGGTCAGGTAAAATGCCGAAATGCGCCAAAAAATCGGCACCGATAATTGGTTTGGTTGTGTCCGCCACTACGAAGCGCCATGTGAAATCCCTCCGGAGGCCGAGGTTGAGCGATAGAGTTATGCAGCCGTACGTGTTGATTGTTGAGGGGTTGGCTGCAATAAGCGTATAGTTAACTCGTTTCTTTGCTCCAGGAGCGAGAGATTTCGAAAATGTGCAAAGATCGGCGCCAGTATCCACCAAGTATTGGATTTTGGTGGCGCGATCGGTTACGAAGAGGCGGCTGGATTTGAAAGAGGGAACGTTAACCGCCGCTAACGATCCGTCGGGGCGTTTCCCTGCCACGAGCAAGGTGCTTTGCAACGTCTAGTCCTGTCGTGGTATCTTCGATGATACCAGCACTGGTTGTTGTCGGGTGCTGGCAAGGTTGTTCGAGAACGGGATCGAGAGCGGGAGCGAGAACGTACGACGCTTTGCCCTTTTAGGGCCGATGCCGGCTCGCAGATTGCTTCGAGACGAGAAAAGGGTGTCTCGAGGGCTGAGGACGTTGGCTCCTGGACGTCATTGATGTGGGCTACCGGCAAGGCGATCTCGTGCAGTTTGTCGGCGAGTGTTGCAAGCCTGTCGAGAGCCATGTCCGCTTGTGACGCCAGGATGGACTGCGTCGTCATCGGCAGTCGGCTGAGCCACTTGGTGCGTAAAATGTTGTCAGAAACCATGCCGTCGAGACTCCTGAGATGACGCAGGAATTGCGAGGGCTTCCTGTCACCCAATACCTCTCGGTCGAGCAGCTGCTGGAGTCGTGCGTCTCGGGAGAGCGTGAAGCGTTCGACGAGCGCCTCCTTGAGACGTGTGTACGGTGTCTCGGCAGGCACATTTAGGAGGATATCCTGCACCTCAGCAGCGGCCTTGGGATCGAGATGAGACGAGGCATAATAATACCTCGTTACTTTATCGTTAATCCCGGATAGATGAAACTGTTCCTCGAGCTCGGCGAACCATAATATAGACTTTAATAAGCTCTATTCATTAACACCAATTAAAATTTAATGGCTCAGGACATCCTAAGATATCAGAATAGCAATTCCCTGCAACTTAAAATTCCTCGTAACATCTCAGACAACATATCCAGATACCTCACTTTGCGCTGTCCACTGGCTCTAACCCGAGTTGTGGCCCAGGCTCGTCTGGCCTCAGTCCACGTTGGGAGAATCATCATCAAAGATAAAACCTTTAGATACAATCCGAATGACTATTGTAGAATATGTCACTTCGAGATTGAGAACCTGATTCACATTTTTGTTAGATGCCCATTTTACTACAACCTCAGACTTTAATGATCTTTTATTAGATAGATATGACGTTGACCTCCTGCCCACTCTCTTAGACATTGATAACTCCAACCAGCTGAAAAGATTAGCCTATTTTCTGATGGATGCATTTAATTTTAGGGAATAATACTTAACTTAGTCTGTTTGTCTGGCGGTTTCTTTTTGTTGATTAATGTACTTTTATAAGAAACACGTTGTTCACCTGATTTCTTTCTACCAATATTGCATTATTATCTCTAGTAAATTTTGCTACATATTTATCATCGAACTTCTGATGAAATATGTATACTTATCCCCTCCCCCGTGCAATGTGAGTGTTGCCGTACGCTTGTTACTCACGAAGGCACGTACGATAAATGAAATAGAATAAAATTAAAATTTAATTTTTCATAAAGATTCGAAAAAATTGATAGTTTTTCCAAAAATCTATTTGTCAACGTGCACTCAAAAAATTGTCATCAAAATGGAATTAGTCAGAGCTCCACAAATTCATAACAATTCCCTGTTGATTCTATCAGAATATGATGGAGGTCGTACAAATCATTGTTGATTACAACACATTGGTTATGCGATTTGAAAAAGGAAATCGGTTTTTTCATGATTACTGAAAGAATTGTGACGGATATCAATTAAATCAGGTCGTCAAAAGTATATTTCAATGCCTTCTTAATCAAGTCGAAGAATGGTGAGAACAGCATCATTGCTTATCAAGTTACACAATGCCGTCATGAGTTTTTATATCAAAATCTCTATTTCTCCTATCCGAAGTTTTTGAAAAGATAGGGTCAATCCAGATGATCAAGTATATTGAGTGTAATAATACACTTATTCGTTACTAGTCAGGGTTTCGCAAGGGCCTGAGCACACAAACAGCTGAAGGTATTTGATGAAATCAAACTGGCCACGGATGAGAGACTTATTACACTATTAGTGTAATACGACTCTATGCCCTTGCTCTGGGCTACCCAAATCTGACTGACCGACAGTACCCCAATATTCCTAACACTTCCTCTCACTGGTGATCTGTTGGACTCTCGCTAGTATTGAGTCCCATCAGAGCTGCCAGTGTCCATGTCCTCTGTGGTCCAAGTGGTTTGGTGAGAATGTCTGCTGCATTTATCTCCGTTGGACAGTACTCCAGTTTGATAATGTTTTTCTTCACTAATTCTTTTGCATTGAGAAATTTTGAGTCGATGTGTTTTGTCAATGAGCTCTTTCCTTCAGAATGAATGTTGTTGATACAGCTCTGATTATCTTCGTAAATTGTTGTGGGCTGCTTTTGTTTCGTGTTCAGAAATTCGAGTACGCTGTGCATCGCCTTACATTCTTTTGTTGCCTCCGATAGCGCGATGATCTCAGCTTCCGTTGATGAAGTTGCTACGCATGATTGCTTCTTGCACGTCCAGCTGACTGTGCCTCCAAACAATTTGAAAACGTAGCCTGAATTAGATTTCCTTGACTCTCTGTCCTCTGCCCAATTGGCATCAGCATATCCGAAAAACCTTTGGTCTTTCTCCTGATGATCATTAAGTTTCAATTCGTAATTGATAGTTCCCTTCAGGTTTCTACATATTCTTTGCGCCTCTATCCAATCGATTTGTCTAGTGTCAGTGATATGTTGTGCCAGTAACGCTACCGGTGCTGAGATGTCGGGTCTTGTGTTCACTGATACGTAGAGAAGAGCTCCAATCAACCTTCTGTAGTGATCATTTTTTATTTCTGGTGAGTCTACCCGATGTTTCGCATACCCTGTGTCCATGGGGTAGGCTGATGGTTTTGCCTGATCGAGTTTAGTCCTTGCCAATATCTTCTCGATGTAGTCGGATTGATTTATCGAAAATTCTCCTTGTGGATTCCTTTTTACTTCCGTCCCCAAGTAACATTTAATATCAGCCAGCTCAGTGATACTGAATTTATCCTTTAGTGCCTGTATGGCTGCACCAATTCTGCTAGATAAGCTGCTCGCCAGTATGATGTCGTCAACATGGACCACCAGGTAAGTGATGGTGTTTGTTCCATGTTTGTAGAAGCAGGCATCATCTTCACTTCGTATGAAATCAAAGTTGATGAGCGTGTCGTGAAGGGTCTCGTTCCATGTTCTAGCAGCTTGTTTGAGCCCGTAAATGGATTTGTTAAGTCGGAAGGCCCAGTCTCTGTGTTGATCATTTACGTATCCAAGTGGCTGTTTCATATAGATAACTTCGGTTAATTTCCCGTGGAGGAATGCAGTTTTTACATCCAGGTGCTTAACATATTAGTTCTGCTTTCCTGCTAGAGATAGAAGAGTTCTGACAGTAGATGCCTTGACTACTGGTGCAAATACTTCATCGTAATCGATTCCATATTTTTGAGAAAATCCTTGAGCCACAAGTCGAGCCTTGTGTCGAGCTGGTCCTCCATCAGGAGTTGTCTTAGTTCTAAATACCCATTTACTTCCGATTGGCACTTTTCCCTTTGGAACAGGCTCTAAATCCCAGGTTTCATTGTCCTCAAGCGATTGAATTTCCTCAGCAATGGCTCTTTCCCATTCTTCCGAGTTGGGGCCGTTGATAGCTTCATGATAGGTCCTGGGGTCAGCTTCATCACTTAGATCATCATTATATATGTATGGATTTTCATTATTCATTCGCTGATTTTCATTATTCATTCGCTGATTAAGAGGTACGTCTTCTGTTTCATCGAAGATAGATCTTCGGCTCTTAGTTTCGATTTTCCTATTGTCGGATAGTTCTTCTTCTTGTGCGCAGGGTAGATAAGAGGTAAGTTTAGTTTTACCGCTGGGTATTTCATGATTTTCAAGAGGAATATAGACAGTACTATCGTTGGTATTTTCAGGAGGGTGATGAGCCCTTGTGTGCTGCTGTAGAGAAGGATTGGACAGAGGTTATACTTCCCCTTCAGCCCGTCCTTCTTCCAAGAATACTACGTCCCTGCTCGCGATGATACGCCCAGATGGTTTTTCCATAAGTTTGTAGCCCTTCGATCCTTCTGGATATCCCAGGAGAACACAATCGTACGCTTTGACATCGGGTTTTGTTCTCTTTTGTTTTGGGATGTGAGCAAGCGCTCGACATCCAAACGCCTTGAGATGTTGTACATTTGGTTTTTCGTTGAACCGTAGTTCATAAGGTGTTGCTGATCTCTTCCCGGTGGGAAGTCGATTTTGCAGGTAGGTTGCTGTCAAAACCGGCTCGCCCCAGTATGGGTCTGGAAGATGTGCATCTATCAACATTGTTCTTACGGCCTCCATCAGGTACCTATTCTTCTTCTCGGCTACCCCATTTTGCTCGGGGGTATATGGCATGGATTGTTGAACCTGAATACCCTGACGTCTCAAGTAGTCCTGAAGCTCGTGTCCAATATACTCTCCCCCACGATAAGATCTGAATATCTTGGGTGTCTCTCCACGTTGAGTTTTGCTGAGTCGTATAAATTCTTTGATTACTGATTCTGCTTGTGATTTGTGTGTTAAGAGGAATGAATGCGTGTAACAACTGTAGTCGTCAATTAAAGTCATCACATACCTGCGTCCTCCTATAGTGGGTGTGGGTAGGGGTCCGCACAGATCCGTGTGGATGAGTTCGAGTGGCTTCGACGTTGTAGTTTCAGAATCCTTTGGAAATGGTTTCCTACAAATCTTCCCCTTAACGCAGCACTCACACACCTGTTTGATCGGGCAGTCTTCAATTTTTATGCCCTCTGCCAGGTTGTTGGTTGCTAGGAGTCTTATCGCCTTCGGATCTCGGTGAGCGAACCTTGCATGCCAGTGATGAATACAGTCGGGAGGGTGTTGAGGCATCATTGAGAACGCATATTCCGGTGTTCTTAATTTATACATCTGCGCAGCTCCATCTCCCATAGCTAACTCCTTTGCTCCCTTTCTGATTACCATTTGGTTGTTCTGAATTTTCAATTGGTATCCTTCTCTGTCGAGGGAACCAATGGAAATCAGTTCAGATTCGAAGTCGGGAATGTATAGGACTTCTCGCTTCTCCCTTTCCGGTTAAACATTCAATTTTACCTTTTCCAATCCCGTAGACCGTGCAGGATTGACCGTTGGCGACACGTACCTTTGATGTATAAGTAGTGTCAATCTCATCAAAGAAATCAATATCATTTGTCATATGACTGCTGGCCGCTGAATCCAAGTACCAATGCTTCTTTATTTTTCTCTTGTCCGTGTCGGCTATGAAGGCGTACTGGGGAGGTGTGTTAGTGTCGCTATCGTCATCACTGCCACTCGGTGTGTCATTCTCGATCGCAGCCCTGGCTCTCTCATATTTCTTATTTTTATTTTGCTTCCTTCTCCAATTTAAATATTTCGTGCACTGATGGTTTAAATGGTCAGTGCTGTGACAAAAATAACACTCAAGGGGCTCTCCCTTATATTCTCGTTGCCTGATGTTCTCTTGCTTGTTTACCTTTAGAGCACTATCGGTGTGTTCACTTGGTACCAGCTTTCTTCTGCGTTTGAACTCGCTGAGCAGTGTTGTCTTTACCATGCTCAAGGTCAATTCAGCCTCTGGTTTTGCGGCTAAAATTGATATTAGGGGACCGTATGATGCTGGCATACTGCGAAGCACAACCCAAGGTGCGAATTCCTCGACGCCTTTACTCCCAAGTGCAGTTAAATTATCTATTAATTTTTGAATTTTTGCAATGTGATTTTCCATATCCTCTTCTTCATTTAATTTCAAATCCAGCATTTCGATGATCAAAGCGAATTTATCCATTCCACTAGCCTTTTGGTGATGGTTTTCCAACGCCTGCCAAGCGTCCCTGGCGGTTTCAGCTTTATCTAGATAATGCCACAGATCTTTTTCAATGAAAAGCCTAATAGTTCCCAACGCTTTTTCATCTCTTAATTCCCATGCTTCGATTTCATCCTCATCTGTGTTTGGCTTGGGTATTATTATTGCTCTCCACGAGCCCTCTCGGCACATCAATGCCGAGATCTTTTTCTTCCATACCTGATAATTTCTATTGTTCAGCTTTACTATCCCAAAAGAGTGATTCGTTGAAGAGCTCCCTTCCGCCATCACTCCTGAAGCTTCACTTGATTTTTGGTCTCTAACTTTTCCACTTTACTTATACTCAATTTTAAATTTGACCTTTATAGCTTAATCCCGATGGTGGCACTGGGCCCATAACCTGATAATTATAGCGATAATTATAGTGAACCACAGGATAGCAAATTGAAGGTACAAATAAATACACCGTGATACTCGTACAACGCACGACTGCTCTGCTCTGTTTATTCAACACCACTGATACACGACTCTATGCCCTTGCTCTGGGCTACCCAAATCTGACTGACCGACAGTACCTCAATATTCCTAACAGATGGTGGGATTCTCATGAGGACCTGTTTTGTAGAACGAAATGAGATCTATAAGAAAGATCTTCATAAAAATACCGCTATCTGCCTCACATTCTGAGATATAATTATGGAATTATCTCGAGGTCAATCTGACGAGTGTCCATTTCACTTTGAGGTCATTTTCCGTCGTTATCTTTAAATTTGAAAGAGATACTGGAGTTTCTATAAGGAGCTATTTTATGCAGCTCATTTCGTTCTACAAAAAAGCTCCTAATGAGAATTCCGTCATCTGCCTCAGATTCAAAGATATAATAACAAAATGATCTTAAGATCAAGATGGCAAAACCTTATTTCACTTCGAGGTCATTTTCCAATTATATCTCAATTATATCTTTTTGTAGTTCAGAAAGAGATCTACAAAATAGCTTCTTATAGAAATCCCACTATCTCTCTCAGGTTTAAAGATATCACTGGAAAATAACCTCAGAGTGGTATAGACACTCGTCAGCTTGATCTTTAAATGATTTTTCAATTAAATCTCTGAATTGAAGGAAGATGGTGGAATTCCCATAAGGACCTTTTTTGTAGAACGGAATGAGATCTACAAAAAAGATCTACATAAAAACACCGCTAGCTGCCTCAGATTCTGAGATATAATTAGGGAATTATCTCGAGGTCTATCTGACGAGTGTCAATTCCACTTTGAGGTTATTTCCTGGTGATATCTACAAACCTGAGAGAGATAGTGGATACTCTATGAGGAGCTATTCTGTACATCTCATTTTGTTCTACAAAAAATCTCTTCATGAGAATTCCGCCATCTCCCTCAGATTCAGAGATATAATCGAAAAATGATCTCAAGGTCAAGATGGCAAGAGTCTATTTCAATTCGAGGTCATTTTCCAATTATATCTCTGAATTAAGGAGAGATGGTGGAATTTTTATGAACATTTCTTAAGTTCTCCAAAATGAGATAAGCAAAAAAAGTAATTATATAAATTTCGCTATCTACCTCAGATTGAACGATACCACCAGAAAATGATATCAGAATATTAGAATGGAATAGACACTCGGCAGCTTGCTCTTGAGAGCATTTCGTAATCATATCTCTGAGTCTGTGAGAGAGAGGGATATTTTTATGAAAATCTTCTTTGGAGTACAGACTGAAATATACAAGGTAGATACTCATAAAAATTTTACTTTCTCTCTCAGATTCAGAGATATCATTTCAAGAATGATCTCGAGTTCGAACCGCGATTACCTAGATTATTTTCAGTTCATATCTGTGAGTCGAAAAGAAATAGCGGCATTTTCATGAAGATGTTTTTCATTCATTTTTCATTTTCCCTCCCTACTAACATTTATTGAATTTCCTTCCATCTAGGTATTGAAAGGGTAAATATAATCAGGCCCGAAAGCCTCCTCGTGGAGGAGGCAGTAGGGCTTCATTTAATTTCTACTACAGAGATTGATTCTCCTTCGCGGTCCTCATTCCATTCACTTCTTCATTCTAAATGGTGAGTCCCTGTTGTTTAATGTTTTAAATATTATCTAGAGGAAAATACCGATGAATATCAATTATGTTTTTTTTCTGTTACAGATTTCTACAGAGACTTCTCCACTTTGTCAAAAAAAAATTATAAATGCTTAACATAATTTCAACCTAATTTAAAAATGTGATCTCAAGCGTGACTGATGATATTAGCTTTTTAGAAATATAATAATGAGATATGATCGGAGAATATATTTGTCTAATAATTCCTAAGAAACCTGTGATGTTGAACGTCAATGTCTAATGTAAAATATTACTGTTAGAAAAACTTGTACAAACGTAGAGTCGTATGTAAAATGTGATTTTTATTGTAAACTATTATTAATTCCATTGTATGAAAGGAGATTGTGATTTTAGAGAAATTAGAATTTAATGTAAATGATCAGTAAAAAAATGAATAATAGGACCTCATATGAATATCATCTATCGTTGAACAATTATTCTGCGTCACTTATTCCCATTTTTGGTTCCGATTGGAAGCATTATAATCGTGCATTCTGGCCATCCTCTCATTTTTCCTGGAATGATGTAGAATGTCATGAAACGTAAAGATATGTTTTTAAAAAATACGGGTGCGTATGTCCGTTTTTTATTTTTATTAATAGCTTCCGGCCCTTGCGGTGGATCCATTGTTGTTATATTTCTATCAATGCTAATTCGAATTTCCCAACTCTACATTAGCGCACTTTCTCCGCTGTCAGATGGCGCTATGAGTCGATTCCGGAATCGACTTTGCTATCGATGGAAGATTCACGTCTCAAATCCATATCGATGGCTGTGGTACGATACTACAGTTGTTTTCAAGTGGTTCAAGTGATTATTTCCTGGATAAACGGAAAAAGATCACTATTAGGATAAATTACGCTCATTCTAGTAGTGTTTATCATTTTCTCTTATCTTTATGTGTCGTGTTTTGATTATAGGTGATTTGATTTGATTCTTTATCCTCAACTGAAGTTTCCCCGCTTTCTAACCTATATCTCTCATCTACTTTTTCTCTTCTGTATCATCAATCCCGTTCTCCCCAATTCCATTCTGTTATTTTCATTCTCCCTATTCTTTCTCAATGAGCCATACTAATCAGTATCCTATTTTGTATTTTTCCTCTTTACTCTACGTTTACTTGTTCTATTTCTCTTTGACTGTTTTCAAGTTTTATTTCCTCTCCCAGTTCTAATTTTCCAACATATCTATTAAACCATTTATTTATTCAGTCCTTTTTTCTTGTCATTTTACTTGTCATTTAGCAACTCGCAGCACTTCATTAACCTCGCCAGCTTCATCTCATCTGTTGCGTTCAGCTCTCAGTCAGCTATGCAAGTTATTTTTCAGCTTTTCTTCAGCTGTATTATTTAAATGTCAGCTGTCCTTAGCTGTTCTTATAAAATTCAGCTTTCTTCAGCTGTTCTTATAGATTTCAGCTTTCCGCAAGCCGTGTCTTCAGCCTTTTCGAGCTGTTTCCATACTCAGCTTACACAAGCTGTTGCCCTCAGCTTTTGATCAGCTGTCCAGTTTGTCCTTCAGCTATTCCTCCGCTGGGTCATTTACATATTTAGCTTTTCTCAGCTGTTGTTCTTATAATAATTTTCAGTATTCCGCAAGCTGTGCCTTCAGCTTCTTTGAGCTATTATTGTTCCATATTTAATTAGCTCTCGTTCACTAAGTCAGCTTCAGCTCATCAAAACTGTTGTTTGCATCGTCAGTTATTCAGAAGCTGTATTCATAGATTATATTTTATTTTTGTAAGACGTGTAGAATTTCATTCACTCAGAGTGACTGAATAAGATCAATAAATTGGAACAGTTTCGAAACCCAACTGTTCCACTCCATTTAATTATGCTTTCATTCAATTGCAATTTAATATTAACAAGAGGACGGGATGGTTGGTTATCTGATGACGAGATTGACTACTTTGCGTGTTTACTACATCAAGAATTCCAGTTCGAATTCCGAGAATCTTGGAAATTCCAGCTGCCAGGTTTTATGGAACCGATCAATCCCTGTAAGAATCATGTACATTTGCTACATAGTATGAGTGGAAATCTTACAGATGAAGACGCCGGAGAAATGCGTCGTGGCCATTGGATTTGTACATATTTTGATAGAAATTTTATTCATATTTATGATTCTGATAATAGACGCAAACTCGATCCAAATCATATTAGATATCTGAAAGTCCTATATCCATTCTACCCAATTGATATACTGGGCGTGAAGTTCTGTAAAGGTCAACAACAGCAAAATACATATGACTGTGGGGTTTTTGCATTCGCATTTGCAGTGTCGATTGCTTTCGGGGAAGACCCCGAAACAATAACAATAACATATCGTATGTTGAGAATGCGAGAAAATTTATTGTACATCTTCGATAGTAAGAAAATCTCTCAGTTCTCCATCCTCAGAAATTGGTCAATGCAAATTCTAGCCCCAAGTAAGGACAAACCAATATCCACTCATCGGAAAATGCAATTCGAAGAACTTGTGAAAGAAAATAAAGAGAATCTGCAAGAGAATGTTCAGCAAACGATCATGGATAATCATCAGAATCTCTCGCAGTACAATAACCAAAGCCAGACCGCTGAAGATCCCTTACATGGAGAAACGAATCAGTCACAAATAATGGAGGTTGATGATGTGGATAGCGCGAGCGTTGTGTGTTTTGTTGGAAAATCTCGATCAAAACGCGTCTTTAATAAGTCATCATCCAAAAAATACAACGACAGTGAACCCTTAACCAAAAAGAGTCACCGCGGTCCAAAGGTGCAGGTTTCGCCTCTTGGTCTCGAGTGGATGGAGATAATTCGTCGATCCGAACAACTCAAGAGTCAACACATAGCATTTTTTGGACGGTTACTATCAAATCATTCTGATTACTTTCATCAAGATACATTAATCTTGCAGAGGCCTGAGCGAATTGAACCTGTACCATCTGTAAAGAAAAATATTCAGATTCTTTATAGTAATGATAATGAACAGAAAGGAGAGTATGGACATTGGGTGTGTTCTTTCTATGATGGTAGAGATATTTTCATTTATGACTCGTTAAATAGACACTTATTACATGAAGACCACAAAAAATTTCTGCACAGTCTCTATCCATTCTTCCGTATCTCTGATGATTCTGTACGATTCATGGCAGTACAGAACCAATTAAACCACGTTGACTGTGGAGTGTTTGCCATAGCATTTGCAGTATCTTTATTATTTAGGGAAAAACCGGAGTATATCAAATATGATTACTCACTGATGCGTCAACATCTGATCAATATGTTTCAAACAATGAAGATTACTCAATTTCCCCACACTTCCAACTCCAATCCACCAACACACTTATCGCTACATGAAATCCAACAAAAAGAACGCAAAGCATATCAACAACGTTGTCGAAGGGACAAAAAGACTTCGGAAATTAGCAATTGTGTTGATAGCCTAAAGGTGGAGGAAGTATCTTCACATATAGATGAAAAAAGAATGAATGATTTGAACGAATATACTATAAAGAGTCAGTCAGTCGTGCCATGTGAAGAGATAGGTTCTCAGTCATTGCCGCAGGATTTGAATAAAAATAGAGCTAAAGAGATTACAGGAAATGACATAATTGAGGAGGATGATAATCCTCCAAGAGAATATTCGAAAGTAAATGAACACAGAAATCTCACCAATTTGAATACAAAAAATGTTGCATTCACAGAAAAGCACAAAAAACTGACGAAAGAATCGAAGAAAAAGACTTCAACTTCATCCATCGTAAAGAAAGGTACTTCTACAGATCATAAAATGAAGCAGGAAACAATGCCAACTAAAGTCTGCCCTGAGCAATACGTAGAACAATTGACAAAAGTAATCAGCAAGGTTGACGGAACTGTTCCTGTTGAAAGTAAGCTAGAAGCTCAGAAGATAGTGGAATGGTGTGTGGAACAACGGAAAAATTATGTGAAAGATTTGAATCGTTGGACAGATACTCTGCAGAAAAAATGCAGACCATCATCTTACTGAGATGAAAGGTAATAAAAATGATAACAAAATAATTACCCTTTGTGGAAAATCAAGGCATACAGCATCGACAGAATCCTATTTTTACGAAATGATATACGTATTTAAGATTCCAATGGAACACAAAATTGAAATGAATTCGAAAGGATAGGCAGTAAATATATTACCCCTACTGAGAAATAATAGAAAATACATACAATGGGTATGCAATGAATATTGTCAAGTACAGGAGAATGAAAGTTTACTAGAAGATTACCAAAAGTTTCTCGAGACTTTGGCAGCGCAAAAATTGCGTACTTTCCCAGAATTTTTAAAACGTTGTTTTTCACAACATTCAGAAGATGAATTAGGACACACGATACATTGTTATTTTGAACAAAAACCTATTGTCTTCATTGGAGCTGTTATCATCTCACTTTCCTAACGTGCGAAATATTAAGAGACTCTTGTATAAATTCAATGAAACATTCAGAAGACTAGAAAATTTGGATGACGCTTTGGATTCAATGAACTTAGCTAAATTAAGAGAGACCTCGAATGAGATCAAAACAGTGGGCCAGTCCTTCGACAGCTCTTCAACAAGAAACGATGATTTGAATGAAGATAACATACAGTTGAAGTATAAAAGTGCTTTTCTAGCAATGAACGAACGAGGTATGGCTGAATACCTCGATACGCCTGCATATCGTGCCAGAAATTACACCCCAAAAGTTCCGTTAGAATAATCAACATATTACATAGTCCGATCCCATCTAAGTATTGGGAAGACTTACAGAATTTAATACAATATAACAATATAATACAATATAACATCTTAATACAATACTGCACAAAATATTCAACGAAATATGAAGTCTCGAAGTCTTCAACAACTATCAAAGAAGCAACGTCAACGAAAACTGTAAGACAAAAATTATGGAACATTGGAATGCGTGCTCTCCATCATCGAGAACTCGTAGCTCTCGAAGCCGCTGATACGCTATTATCAATTTCTTTGTACGGAACAGACTCTAACACAACTATTAAGTGGTTGGATGTAAGGATGGTACGAAATCGAAAAGTAAAGACACACGACGAAATCATAAAACTAGAAAAAGAATCTACAGCTATATTTTGTCCATCGTTGATTGACGATCATTATCCTAACCGACCAAAAGAACTCGAGTCTGTAAGTCTGTACGAATTTTGCAAGTGGTATAATGTAGTCAGAACAGAACCGAAAGCTAAGGGTGTAGAATACTACACTCTGAGTACTTCGTTATTCTTGAAAAGACGTGAACGGGGTTACTTGATCAATCATTGGAGAAACGATATCAATACTGAACCTGAGAAGTACTTCTTCACTTTAGTACTCCTGTTCAAACCATGGAGAGATACAGACGAGTTGAAGAGAGGCTTTTCGACTTATACTGAAGCATTTGAAAAAGTAAGAGAGTTCTTGAAAGAGGCTTGTGAATATTCTAAACAAATGGAAGATTTCCAAAGAGGAATAGATTACATTTCAGAGAAAATCCGTGATGAACTGGAGAAATGTAGTAAAGAGGTGACGCAATCACCTGGCATATAAGTTGGGAATGGTCTCAAGGAGGGTAAAATGGCTATGAAAGAATTCCATGATATTGATGAGACAGTTACGAAGAGTGTAGATTTGAATAGCATGATATCTCAAATGAATAGTGATCAGAAGAGAATATCCGAGAAAGTGAAAGATATATTGACTTCCAAGGAGAAAATATTACGCCTTTATGTTAGCGGCGAAGGCGGTACAGGCAAGAGTTTCCTAATTGAAGTCATCCGAACGTGGATCGGTAAAGAGTTGCACAGACTGCAGTTACAGCTCCTACAGGCATTGCAGCTTAGAATATCAATGGATTAACTATTCACAGATACTTCCAACTTCCAGTCGAACATGATGTTACCCCAAAATACAAACAATTATCCGATGATTTATTGAAACGGATGCGCGAGCAGATGCAAGACATTGAGCTAATCATCATTCTTGAAATATCAATGATGTCTAATACTACATTAATGTATATCAACCAACGACTGATGGAAATATTTGATACATTTGAAAAAACGTATGGTTGGTTCGGTAAGAAACATATTCTTGTGTTCGGAGATTTGTTACAACTACCGCCTGTCCGTCAAGATCCACCATATATGAAAATTCCATCAAGTGAAATCGAAAAACGGTTCGGATCCATGTGTAGTGTCAATCTTTGGGTCAATTTATTTAGTTATGATGAATTGACAATCAATATGCGCCAGCAGAAGGATAAAGCGTATGGGAATCTGTTATCTCGTTTAAGGGTTGGTAGTATGACCGCTGAAGACATTGCATTGTTAGAAACGAAAAAAATTGACATCAGCTCATGAAACACTTCGAATTGCATCAATCTTCTAGCTCTGTACTGTGACGTATTTGCTTACCTCTGCGGAAGGTGAAAGATACGCAGCCCTCAGCGACCAAACAACGAAAATAAAGTTGGGCGCCAGCATGGGTGAACCGTGCAATTAAAACAACAAATTAAATCGACAATTATTCGAGACAAAAGAACAACCCCCGACAGCTCAGACAACCGCGGTGGCGGCTGAGTTCTCGATACAAATGGTTGTTCTGAAGTTTCCGAAATGACTTGGTTTTCTTATCTAACAACTTATATAAAAAAAATTCAATAATCCGGGGAATAAATAATTTATTCAATAAACCCCCTTGTTCATTTCAATTCGAATCACCCCTCAGAAAATTAATAACACAAATATTCAACAAAAGCTAAAGACTCGATACACTAGAACATCCCTAACCAACGATTAGTCAAAATAATAAAATACTAGTCAGTCCAAAAGAATAAGTTCAGTCAAAATTACAAAATCATGAATAAAGTCAAACTGTAGAAATGACTAGCGGAAATAAAGTCAAATAATATCACTGAATGGGAAGTTAATTTTCCGATAGAATATACTGTCAAAATATCCCAAATCGAAGAGGTGACTGACATCGACAGCGGCAACTGAAATTGCCTCGGAACAGACAATACAAAAGGTGACCGCAATCAAGGTCAGATACGAATCACTCGAGCGTTGACAAGACGCTACAATTTCAACTGCCGATGCAATGACGAAATGATACGACAACTTCAAATATCGAAAACAAAAGTAATTACCGAAAATTTCGAATATCAATGTAGTTCTCAAAATCAGTTCAAAACTAAATACATTATTTGAAAGGATTTGTTCTACCGATTCCTCATCCGATCGGCAAACAAACCGTTGAAACGAGAGTCAAAATCCGTTCAGAGAAACCACTGAATTCCCGAGAAAATCGAACATCTCAAATCACAATATAATATCAAAATCATACGTCCAAATTAAATTATACAAAAGAGCTAACCTCTGCCGAACAGACGATAAGAACTCGCCCCGAAAATCAAAAGACTCTAATGGCGTCACTTCGCCCGACGATAAGCGTCGTCAAAAATTGCACAAGCTAATGAGCGAATTCTAATCGTTGTCGATATAAAACAGATACAAAACGATATACAAAATGGTATTTCTGGAATTCTTCTTCCGCTCACCACAATCTCCAACGAGTCTAGTCCAGGAGCCAGGGCGAAAGATTCTCCAAATAATCCAAATCCAGTCAACGCTGGTGTCCACAACAAGATGAATTGCTCCGACAGCAAGAGGTTCTCCACAGAACAACAGCTCGTTCGCCACCCAAACGAGAAGTGAGGCTAAAACCCACGCTTCTCCCATGCGTTCGGGACACTTCCCGCCAATCGAACCCCATTGGCCAGGGCCGTTCCATGAGCCGCTCTGATTGGTTGTAACCCAACCAAACCAGACTTATTCTCCAATAAACACTCAGCTGTGTGACAACGTCACCAAAATAGGGAATAAATATCCAATTCCTTTTCCCTTTATTTCGTATCATTACCGGACGTCTAACTTCAGTCCGATAATTTCTCTCGCACTGCCTAAACCATCACTTCCGGTTAGGC